CCGTTTCTCGGCGTGCACATACGGAAGCAAAGGGGATGGGTGTTTGCGCACCGCCTCCTTCAGGCTGGGCACACCGAGCTTTACTCCTGCGAGTTCCCAGCCTCTCCCGGCCTCGGTCTGTCTTCCTCACAGTAGGGATGGCAGCGACGCCCCTCATGGTGGCTCTGGGAGGCACTGCAAATCGGGCATGTATTTGACACTGTCGGCCCTTCCTCATTGCGACCGGTCCAGGGCTGTGTGCTGGGCTGGGACCAAAGCCAGGTGGGGGTGACCTGGGGCTGGTGCGGGGACTCTCCCCTCCTGCCCCAGGCTGATGTGTCTTGGGTCTCTGGTTCCAGGGGAAGGAGGTGATCGAGCATTACCTGAATGAGCTCATCGTACAGGGCACTGCTCACATCCCCCGCTGGACGCCTGCCGTGGTCAGTGAGGAGGGTGCTGGCAGCCAACCTGGGCCTCGGGACCCTGGCTCCCTGGAGGCCACGGCACCCAGCGGCACCCTGGGCCCTGTTCCTGAGGCAGCCGGTGTGGACGGTAGGTCTCTGCAGCTGAGCCCAGCAGCCAGGTCTGTGCCTGTGGCGCCTGGTGTCCCCGTGGGCAGGCTGCAACCTCGTCCGCTCCTTGGTGGGGGAATTGCCTCAGGTCCCTGGGCGCTGGGTCTGGTCTTGAGTGACTCAGTCTCCTTCCCGCTGGCTGCTTCTTGCCCTCTCCATTCTGGCCCCTGCGCCAGGACTGACTGATCCCTGGGTCAGGAGCTGACCTCTGCTGCCCTGGCACTTCCTTTCTCTCTGGTTTTGTAGCTATTTTTAATTTTACGAGTAATGCATGATCATGGTGGAGAAAAACTTGAACAGCTTAGAAGATAGAGTAAGCGGTGCGAGCCTTTCCTCGCCCAGAGGCCGTGGGAGTTCTGTGTTTCTCTTCCCTGATGCTATTGAGGCATGTCTACATATGTATGCTGTGTGTGTATGCACACGTGTGTCCATGCATGCCTGTATATCATTATTATTATTATTGTTTAAAATTTTGCTATAAGGTGTGTGCCCTTCCCAGGAGGATGGCCACACTGCAGTCTCTTCTCCATTCTCCTCTAGGGATTTGGGCATGCGTGTGCCCAGCATGTATTCCCAGCTACTGGGTCTGGGGTTGAATCCCCCAGTTGGCAAACGTAGGCTCCCGCTGCCGCCACCGCCATGCTACTAGCTGGCCCTATTTGCTGATTGTTTCTAAAGTAGTCCCCATTGATGACTATTTAGGTTGTTTCCGTTTTTAAAAAATACAAATAAAAATAAAAATACAAACTGGAGGCTTTAAAAACACACCGAGTGCGTGTGTGTGCACTTGCGCATGTGCGCCAATAACCCTGAGAGGAGAATGGAGAAGAAGGGATTGCAGTGTGGCTGTTTCCCCGGGGGGGAGGGTCTCTTTCTCTCCAGCTAGGGCACCCACCCTATAGCAAAATTTAAAAGCCAAACCAAAATTGGCACTATGAGATGAACTGTACCTACACCACAAATCCGGTTTCAACCATGTGCACAAAGGTTTTCCTGTATGGCCCTGCGGTGGGGGCCGTGCCTGGCTCTGAGGCCGTGGGTGGCGGTGCCGTGGCTACACACCCAGGCTGTGTTACGGAGTACAGGTCACTGCGCAGCAGTGTTACTCGGCCCCAACGGTGCGCCGCTGGTGCCTTCGTCCACGG